AGGAATGGGTCTTCCACGTGACAGGTTTCCTCACAGTTTCCCTGCCCCAATCCCCTGGAAGTGGCCACACCCCCTCACCTGGACCACTATGGTTTTTTGCATTTTATTTTTAATTAGCACTCCTAAATAAAACTGTCTCCTGAAGACCGAATGTGAGGGGGCCAAGAATACCTCCTCGGGAGAAGTTGTCCCATAATCCTGGGGCTGCCACTGATAAAACCCCCTCTTGTGTGCCCACCAGATGACCTTCTTTGATTGGTCCGGACAGTCAGAAGGGCCTCTTCCTGTGATCTTAATCCCAGGGCAGGAACATATGGGATAAAATGCTCCTTCAGATACCCTTTGTATGTGATTGACCCCTTGTGAATTCACATAAATGGATACAAGGTTCCATGATGAGTAAACTCCTGGCTAGTTTGCTCTGTGTGAAAGTATAAATGGGCAAAATGGTACCAAAACATGCTGGAAAGAAGAGTATAGAAAAGAAGAGTACATTCAGGTAGGAGATTCACCTCTGCACCAAATCTACATGTAACATGAGAAGAATCCGTGTAAGAATTAGGCATAGTGAATTAGGAGTTCTTTCTTTGTGCATAAACTGAAGTGCAATAAGAGAGGGACATGTCTAGGGAAGGACGATATCTGCCATCTTGCAATTGTTCTGAAGCTTTAGGAAAGAAAACACCTTGACAGTAGGGTGTTTCAGGAGGATGGCATGTACCAGTGTTGCCCAGTTTATCTTATTGAGGGTTGAAGGTTTAAGAATGAAATACAAATGTTTGCCATCTGAGTAGTTAATCAGTTCTATGCAGAATGAAATAGGGAACCAGGTTGTTGCAAGTTTGTAAGTTTCACTTCCTTCAGAGGAAGAAAGTTTATAGGTTCTTACCTCAGAAAGAACACTGCCAGTCTAGCCTCCTCTTATAAGAGACGTCATGGGCAACTGGGTCGAAAATGAGGGACTTTCCATATTTGTAATTGTGAGTACAATTAACACATTTTAAGAACAGTTTTTTTCAAGGGTTGTTGTAGATTTTATTTAAAATCTCTCCAAATCCATAAGGATTTTGTTCTTGCTTTAACAAATACTTAATGTTTACATTAAATACCTTGGGTTTTTTCTGGGTTTTGGCTTAAAAATGTTCCATTAGCTACACATGTTTTACTGTGGAATAACTAGTTTGCATACTATTGTGGTTATTTGGTTATATTATATTAGAAAAATAAGCTTTCTTAGGTGTTTCTAAAGAAAAGCTGGGGAAAGTATCTTCCAATAATTATTTTGATCTTGTCATAGATTGTGACAGTTACAACATGCTGATGGTCTTGGCCGATTTTAACCCACTTTGATACTGGGGCAGCAATGTAGATGTGAAAAACTGAACAGCACCGCCATTTTATCAAGGAATTCTGAGTTGATTTCATAGGAATATCAAATTTCTGAGAGTGCCCTTTCATGTAGCCCGTTTCTGCTTGTAGATCATTCCCACTGCATCAGGGTGAATATGATTAACCCAACAGATGTTTATATTCCTTTCTTTCACTGAAAGAGGATTCTTTCAAAGGGCATAAGAGGTTTTCAGGAAGACTAGTATAAGTTTTTGTTTTCAAATATCTTAATATTTAAAACTTTATACTGTAGTTTTTGGACTCCTTAGATTACATTTTTGCTGTCCCAACAATGCAGATATTGCACAACATTCAACCCCCTCCCCAGAAGCAGGAAAGAATGGAAGTAACCTACATTTCTTTTTTGTTTTAATTGATTAATACAATTATATTCAAAAAACATAATAAAATCTAAGACAGGCAAAGTTAGGTCTATTGCTATTCGAGGTATAGATATTTCCATGACAGCTGAAGAATCAGTAACTTACATTTCTGATCAGTGCTTCCTCTTTTGGGGGCTCGAAGTAGAAGATGGGAGGTGCCATTTTTGAAAACTTTCTTGCCAGTACTCCATATCAACACGTTTACTGTGGAAGTTTACTGTCATCCCCTTAGAAGTAAATCCTGCTTTGTTCAATGGGACTTACTTCAATGTAAAGGTGCAGTAGATTGTATCCTTAATAAAATAACTGAAACAAACCATGGCTTTGTTTTTAATTGCACTTTAATCTCCTGCCATTTTTACACAGGAACGGAATATGTGTAATAGAAAACAGATATACAGAAAGTTAATTCTGTCTGCAATATGTGCATAAAAAACTGTAGCCCAGTGCTGATTATTATCTGAAATAATGGACTGTCTATGTCAGCAATGTATGTTTCTTGGATTTAGGCACATTTAGTCCTGCTGGATACAAAAACCATGAACCAATTTATAGTTGTCACAACACCTATAATTGCCCCTACCTGCTGCCAGCAATGATGTGGAAAAGATAACATTTACATAGATAGTGGGTGAGTTAAGACTGCCAGTTTGAAGCGCAAGGGAGTCATGGCAAAAAAGACCCGGAACAACTTGTTCCGGGTATTCCCGGTCACACTGCACCGACTGATGCGGGAGCATACCGGGGAGGAGGCGCAAGGGAGCATTCGCACTGTTGGCCCGCCCCTGGCAGAGGCGCGGCTGTATCACACTTCCAGGAAGCGGGATAAACGCGCTCTCCAGGGTTTGCTACTACTTTCACCTGGTATTTTTTAAACTCGGGAGGGAAGCATTACAAGACGGGTTGAGTACGGCTGGGGAAAGCCAGACAGCTGTGCCTGTGTGAACCGGCCCTTTAATCCGTTTGTGAAATGTTTCTAGCACATGCCTATATCGGGGCAAACTGCCAGTCTGAACTCAGACAGTATATAACACTGTGTTCTGTGATTATACACATTAAATTTAGGAATGGAGGACTTGCCACAGAAATATATTCTGCCATGGAGGCCATAATCCCAGTTGTCTGAAGCTACTAGTTACTTGTTTATAATTTGCTTAAACTTGCTGTGTGTGTGCCATCAAGTTGCAGCGGGTGTATGGCGACCCGAGCAAGGGGCTTTCAACTAGGCACATGAGAAGCAGAGGTGTTGTGTCACTGTCTTCCTCTGCAGAGTCTTCCTTGGAGGTTTCCCTTCCAAATACCAACCCTGCTTAGCTTCTGAGATCTGATGAGACTGGGCTATACCATGCTGCCTTCCCTCCCTTAAACTTGAGTAGTCTGTTGGTCTCATTCCATCTTTCCTTCCTTTTTTGTTTATGTTTGGGTAGTCCTGAACAAATAATAGCAAATCCAATTATTTCAGCCTTACAGTGTCTCCCAGGCCAGCCAAAAAATGTGGCTGCCCTATATGCAATAACCACACACAATAATTTTGCTGTTCATAAGTACTAAGCTTTGCATAGGAAGAAAAAGCTCAAGCTCAAGAAAATACTTCAGCAGTATAAAACTATCTCTCTATATAATAATTCTCTGTTGGTGGTGGCACGCTGCTGAACATTCCACACCGCGCTGACAGCCTTTGGCTCTGTGATCTGTCACTCAGAAGCTGTCCCTATCCACTGGCTGCATTGACTGAGTCTCGCCTCCAACATTCTAAACAGTTTGCGGTTCCTCTCCCCCCCATAGCCAGTCAGAACACAGAGGTTATTTGCATATGTGGCCTGATTGACCTTTGCCTCAGAGCACAGAGGTCATTAGAAGCCTTTGCCTCTAACATTCTAAGCAGTTTGCTGTTGCTGTTCTGAGGTAAACTGTGTTCTGAAGTACTCTTAGTGCCTGTTGGGAGAAACCATTGTTGCCAATCTCCAGGTGAGGGCTGAAGATCACTCAGAATTACAACTGGTTTCCAGATGGCAGAGATCAGTTCCCCTGGAGAAAATGGTGGACTCTGTGTCCTTATATCCTGCTAAGATGGCCCCTGTATGACAGCCAATGTGATGTAGCAGTCAGGGCTTCAGAGCACAGTAGAGGCTGCAGGTGGGGTGTGTGTGGAAAGCTGAAGAATGAATGGGAAATAAAGGTAGGTTGATTATTGGCTGGGAAGGAGATATGGTTGCCAACTCCAGGTGGAAAATTACTGGAGATTTGAGGGATGGAGCCGGGAGATGGTGAGGTTTCAGGAGGGGTGGGACCTCAGACAGGTACAATGCCATAGACTCCACCCTCCAAACCAGCCATTCCGTCATGGGGAACGATTGTTGCCAATCTCCAGGTGAGGGCTGGAGATCACTCAAAATTACAACTGTTCTGACTTCTGGTTTAAGCTTTTCGCCACTGGGACGCATCCCGTCTCGCTCTGATGGAGATGCTTCAAGACCTGGCTGATGGGAGGGGTCCAAGTTCGTCCCAGACCTCCCCAGGGTCTCTGTAGGAGACCCCCAGCCTAGGACGCTGAGGAGAGCCTCTTCCAAGGCAACGGCCAAGGAATTGAGGCTCACCTTCTTCCCCAAAAGGCACCCAGAGACGACTGCCGGAGCAAGCGATCACGATCAAACTTTTAAAAATGCTTCCAAAAGAACTCCAAGGCTCTAAACTGTGAGTTAAGCAAAGCTCAGGTGAAAAAAGTGAACTGAATCTTGGTAGTAATTGGAAGCACCTAAGTTTGAAGCAGTGGGGGAGAGGAATTCAAGCACCCCCCCTCTTTTGAGTAAACTTTAAAAACAGTTTTAAATTGGAAATAAAAAGACTTTGAGCTAAAATAAATGCATAAGAAGTTAAGTGAATGCAAAAACTGCTAAAGTATACAAAGCAGGACTAAATCGTATAACTTTTGTCTTGTTTTGGAAAACTTACTTCTTGTTGATATTATGGCTGGGAGAGGATGGAGGGGGCCGGAGAAAAAACTGGTGACCGATAATAACATACCAGTGACTCCCTCCCAGAACCAGGAAGTAACTATAGACTTCTCTTCACTGTTAGCAAATGTACTGTGCCCCCTAATGGATCAGATGACAAACCTCAACACTAAGCTGGACAATGTCCAAAAACAACTGAATCAAATGGATAAAAGAACCTCAGCAACTGATAAAACATTGAAAAAGATGGAAAAACAGACTGAGAGCATTAACAAAGGAGTGAATGAAGCAGAGAAGGGAAGATCCTCTGATGAAACGCAACTAATACAGCTCCAGCTGGAAAGATCCATGTATGTTCTACGTTTCCATGGGATCCCCGAAGAGAAGAATGAGGATTTAAAAGAACTTTTGGCAGTTGCCTTGGCTCCATTGATGGATTATAAACAAGAAGATTTGATAAAAGAGATGGATGTGGCTTATAGGACTTATCTGGACTTTATAAAGAAAAACAAACTCCCAGGGGGAACCTATCTAAAATTCATGAAATGATCTACCAGAAAACTGGTGCTAAAGTCAACAATGGGAAAATCCTTAAAAATCAAGAATGAAGACGTAAAATTTTTGAAAGAGATCCCTTTTGAAGTTAGAAAATGGAGGAAACTCTACAGGATGCTTACTCTCACTCTGCAAAAAAAAAAAGGAATACCATACAGATGGCTATTCCCGGAAGGGCTGAGCTTCAACTACCAGGACAAAAAAATATAAAATTGACTCTGTTCCAAAAGCGGAAAAAATTATGGATCAAATGTTCAATACAAAAAAGAAGCAGAAGAAAAAGAATTTAAAACCGGATGGGGAGGAAGAATAATAATAATCCTACTCACAGGATTCAAGAAGCCAAAATTCCACGTCATCAAAATCATCTGAATCGTAGAAAGGAGAGGCTGCCCCCAAACTCCAGAAAATGAAGAAATGCAAGAAGAAAAGACTCTAGAACTAAGACAATAGCACTAAAGGCAGTAATTGTGTTAAGCTATTAAATGTGTACTATCATAATTGAACCAAATCTTGATATAACGCACAATATTAGGTTAAAATGCATTATTTTTTCAACTATTCAGATCGTGACATGTATTAGACTTCTCCCTTCCCCCAAATCCAGTAGATGAAATAGATTACAATGGTAGTATTCCTTCCCCTATCAAGTAGATATATGTATTATATCTCCTTTACCCATCACCCATAGTAATAGTGTTAGGGTATTAGTATCCCTTTCCCCATCCCATAATTGTAGTGTGTAGAAAATGCAAAAAAATAAAAAATTCCCCTTTGGGGGCCAAAATTTTTTTACAACTGTTCTTCAGGTAGCAGAGATCAGTTCCTCTGGAGAAAATGGGGGACGTGGTGTCATACCCTGCTGAGGTCACCACAGCAAATTGACACTGACTGCCCAAGGCCGGAGCACTCTCCCAGAGTCTCTTTCTAGACCTCGTTGTATTTATTTCCACAACGGGTCTTATTCCTAGTACTTCTGTATTTCTCACATCTATATTTTATCACAGGCCACCACAAAACAGAAGAATTTTTTCTGTCCATATGGTTAAGGTTTAAACAGAGGCTAAAAATAATTTCAGGCTGTATATTTTTCCCCCTTTAGTTCGTGTGGCTGGCTTTAAATGTCTTCCTCTTCACATGGTACTACTTCGTGTATGATCTTGGTGAGAAATTCTACTATACAAGAGAGCTCCTTGGGGTAAGCACTAGATGCGTATTTGCTGTATAATGTACAAAGTCAATATTAGTTGTTGTAGATTTTCCAGGCTGTATGGCCGTAGTCTTGGCATTGTAGAACCTGACGTTTCACCAGCAGCTGTGACTGGCATCCTCAGAGGTATAACTCACAAAGATGGAGTACTCTCTGTGTCAAGGTGAGAAGAAAAATAGTAGGCAGGTAATTTATATCTACTCATGAAGGTGGGGTAGGACAAGACACTGGTATTCCAAGGTATTCCAAGACACTGAAAGGCTGGACAACACAGCCAATTACCATGTCAGATTACACAGGGAAGCCATTGAAATTCATAAACATAAACACAATTTCAACAGGAAAGAAGAGAGTTTAAAAATATAGGGCATGGTTTCCTGTCTTGAAAAACACAAAATGCTCTACAGATAAGATTAGAATTTCAACAGCCAATCCATATGCAAAAGAATCTCCTCAGGAAAGCTCCTCCATTAGCATGTCACAGCCTGGGGAACTCCTACAAGATAATGATTCAGCCCTACCCCACCTTCCTGAGTAGATATAAATTACCTTCCTACCATTTTCCTTCTCACCTTGGCACAGAGAGTACTCCATCTTTCTTTGTTATACCTCTGAGGATGCCAGTCACAGCTGCTGGCAAAACGTCAGGTCCTACAATGCCGAGACCATGGCCATACAGCCTGAAAAATCTACAACTAATGAACTCCGGCCATGAAAGCCTTCGACAACATATAGAGTCAATATTAACTCAAACTCCCATCTTAACATACTTATTTGGAAACAAGTCCCATTCACTTACATTTAATCCAGTTGTGCTTAAATTTGTAACTCAAGGTGTTCTACTTTGTTTTCAGTTCCTGTTGTCCAGAACCATCACTGGTTTTAAGTGTTAAGTAGACCAAGGCTCCCCAATGTGGTTGAGCCTATGGGCACTCTGGGAATTTTGTGAACAATGAGTGGGTGTCAACTCAAAATGGCTGCCATGGGGAGGGGATGCAGCCAGCCACAAAAAGGCTTGAGTCAATCATAAAATATTAGGCAGTAGCAAGCTAACCGTTGTCCTATGATGGAGGCATCCATTTCTGAATGGTTCCTCCTAAACATACAGAAGTGATACTTCCTGGGCTGTTCTGAAATACCTCCTGGTCCAATATGGTGGAGGAAAACCGTGTTTGGCTCTTTGCTTTGGGAAAAAGATGCTTTGGGGACCAGGAAATGGGCACCAAGAAGCAAACTGGTGGGCAAAATGGTACCCACGAGTGCCATCTTGGGGATCAGTGGTTTAGAGCATTGATAAGTCATTTTTTTCCCTGGAACATAGCAGTTATAGAGAGCAAGACTACAAAACTGAGTACATGCAAAATTACCTGCTGCCTTCTCTGAATCCAAAATCACAATACTCATGTTTCAGCTTATGATACTAAAAGGAATTACCAGTCCCCACTACTCAAACCATAATTGACAAGAAAATTAGGGTATATCTATAAACTCTACATATATGTAACTTCCAGAAATATAGTCCATGCTCAGTAGATATAATCTGTCATAAGAGAGCAGCCCCTGCTTCACAAGGAGTGATTTTGCTAAATGTTGTTAGCTGGTTTCCCCAGATGGACTGTTATAAAATAGAGAAGCCCAGGATGACCTCCTCTGCTTGCTTTTAAGCAATTCCAGAAGTCCCTTAGTTGGTTCCGTTTCCCTTTTTCTTTTCCTGCTTCTTGTCAGAAGCAGCTCTTGCATCAGCTGCTTTAACAGCTTCTAATTAATAATATGGTCGTGACTTCAGAAGGTTCACAAGGCCAAGTCATGGGACCTTTATGCAGAGCATCTCTCAAATCTCCCTACTTCCTCCTAGCAAGATGTTACAGGGGGAAATGGAACACAAGAAGCCTGTGTGTGTGTGTGGGGGGGGGGGATACCTTGAACACACTCTGAGGCCGAAATGTAATCCTTGCCAGCATGTGCAGGAAGCCCAGTCAGCCACCAATGATGGAATAGATTAAGAAGTGAGAAAGAATGGATGGAGGCAAGTAATTGTGCACAGGCATTTGCAAATCATCCTCATAGAGGTTTCCTCTGTGACACTGGAACTCTCTCCTCCCCAAAATCTTGAAGACTCTAAGATCCCATGGGGGCACCCCTAAAGTGTGTCAGCCTTCCACAGCCTACTTGGTGGTGGTGGGGAGAATAGGCCAGGTTCCTCGACCCACCCCTCCCACTGTACAAAGCAGGGGAAAACGAGAGACATTGTGATACCAAGCGCGAGAGTAGAAAGAAGTGCCCACTCCCCCATACTGCACGGTGTCTTTGGGCTTGGGGGAGGCTCCTGCTGGTGGAGGAGGGCTTTTCAAACTCTGGGTGCCATCATGGAAAGAGACTTTCCCTGCTGCCCACCGGAAGCCACTGAATCACTGAAAATTGTAATGATTTACTAGGCAGGCAGAATGGCACCAATGGAATTTTGTATTTAATTGATTTTATGGTATTTTATTTACTTTTATTGTATTCTTATTGTTTTCTAACTATATTTTTGTTATGCTATTAGCTTGTTATTGATTTTATTGTACTATGTTGTATTGTAAAAAGTGCCTTGGGAACTTTTTGTTGAAAGGTGGTATATAAATAAACTAAAGCAGACCAAACTAAAATAAATAGATCCTAAATTCTAGTGGTAGCCGTGTTGGTCTGAAGCAATGGAACGAAGTTTGAGTCCAGTAGCACCTTTAAGACCAACAAAGTTTATTTCTGGGTAGAAGCTTTCGTGTGCATGCACACTTCTTATTCTCCTTCTTCAGGGCCACTTTATTTAATGGGGAAAAGAGAAGTTGTCCAGAGCCACATTATGACTTTTGTGGGCACTTTCGCCTCCGTGGGCCCCTCCCACCATAAGAATATCGATATTAAAAGTTATATTTGATATAACTTTAAATACTTCAACATTTTTTCCTTCTGATTTTAAAAGAAATCAAAGCATTTTCATGGGCCCCAGGCACTGTGCCTACTGTGCCTAATGGATATGTCAGCCCTGCTCTCTTCTGTCACAGGCTACGCACAAGAAACAGGGAGACTGTGTGTGCAGATGGAAGAGGACTGAGCATGCAGTCCTGTGCAAGGTCCTACATGTATATATGCATAAAACTCTACACATGTAGGTGCCATTCTTGTGACTGGGAATGCTGTGCAGGCAGGGGCGGGGCCAGAGTGCTCTGTTGTGAGCAGGGCCAGCGTGCGCAGTCCTATCCCTCTTTCACATACACTGACTCATCTGTAAATATGGAGGGGCACTTTTTAATACTTTACCCATGCCCGTTAGCACCTCAACACAGCTGTGCCCTTCATACACCAGCATACATCGCTAATAGCCCAGCACAGATCCATTATTTTCCTATGTTTGTTCTGAGTCATTCTATAGATGCACAGTTTGGTTACCTGTGATCCTCTTGTCTTGTATTTTAGCCTTTCCTGGCACTGGCTCGGGCACCTGCAGCATGTCTGAATTTCAACTGTATGCTGATTCTGCTTCCAGTCTGTCGAAACCTGCTTTCCTTCCTCAGAGGATCCAGTGCAGTAAGAGAAAAAAATGCTTCCTGTTGTGTGTGAGAGATAACAATAATTCTATGCAGTCTGTGCTTGACTTCAGTTCCTTTAAGCTAGTATGCAGCCATATTCCAACTATACTGTATTCGTTTGGTACATGGTCCCATTGCGATTAATTAATTTAATTAATTTTCCATCATTTATACCCCACCCACTGGGGAGGGGACCCAAAACAGCTTATATCTTTTCCCTCTCATCCATTTTATCCTCACAATAGCCCTTGAAGTAGACCAAAATTTGGGTCTAGTAGCAATTTAGAGACCAGCAAAATTTTCAGGGTATAAGCTTTTGAGAGTTAAAGCTCCCTTTGTCAAATCTTGCTCTTCTACTGTAGACGAACATGGCTACACTTCTGAAACCATCCCCATGAGGTAGTTTAGGCTGAGAGTGTGTGACTGGCCCAAGATCACCCAGCAAGCTTCCATGGCAGAAAGGGGTTTTGAACTCAGGTGCCCAATATCATAGCCTGATGCTCTAACCACACCACCACACTGAAACTATGTTCTCAATAGTTAGTGTGAAACATGAATATAGCATCTAAAGCAGATTAATTTTTGTTGTTGTCATTCTGTTCTCACAAAATACAGAGGCAAAAGTTGTTAGTGATTTGTCAAGAAAAATTCCAGGCATTGGACATTACCATCTTTGCTTAAATGTATAGGCCATTTCCCACATTATACAGAGGAAAGTGGGGTTTGCCCCCAATATATACTTAGAAGGGAGTTGCAGCCCGTCAGGGTTCCTTGGGTACCTGTATGATGCATATGTTCATTGCATGCATATTACATTTTTAGGCAAACTCTTAATATAATTTATACATTAAAAAGATGTGAAATGCCCCCATGAAGAGATTGGTTTGGAACATCAAGATTCAGAGTCAGAAATGCGAGATTCAAGGCCAATAGCATATTCAGTACCAACAAGATTTCCAAGTTATGAGCTTTTAAGAATCAAAGCTCCCTTCATCAAATAAGTCCTCCATGGCAAGAGAAACTCCATGACTAGCAGTTATTTGTAGCACTGGCACCAGAGTGATTTGTGCTGGAGGTGGTCGCTTCAGTCTTAGTCTCCTTTCTTAATATTATTTTTAAAATTCTAAATTGGATGAGAAATCCCCTCTAGATCACTTGAGGGGGGAACAGTATGTGATCACGTTAGAGATTCAGTCATAATATATAATATGTTGCAGGCAAGCTTTTAATTCCTTTATTTCCAGCATTTGGCTTTACAAGGTTTCTTTTTTTAAATTAAAATCTAAATATAGTTTGTATGAACAGTCTCAGTTGTTGCCTAAGCAAGCTAAATAAACCAGTTTCAAGAGCTTGTAATTATGCTTTACTTGTGCCATCAAAGTTGCAAATCAGAGGTTTCACCTGAAATGTATAAATATCTTCCAATAAAATTAAAATTAAAGAAATGATAGCAAGAATTTGTCCTCTACATACCTAAATGATATTTCTTGAAACACCAGGTTGAATTTGCCTTGTTGGGATCTATCTCCTCATTCATAGAGATTAAAATAATTTATCTCAGAATTCAGTTTTAAATACAAGAGAAACGGCTAAACAGGAGAATTACTTCCACTTCAGTCATTTAATCTGTTTCAGTATCTGCTTGGGCTCATGTGTCAGTTGCAGGAAGAGGGTAGAGTGCGCCATTTCTGTCAGTTAACCCCAACTGAACTACAAGAGTCTTGTCTACAGTGGGGGTCCCCAATCTTTATGAGACTGCAGGCACCTTTGGAATTTTGAGAAGGGGTGGTCGGCTGCACCATTCAGAACTGGCTGCTGCAGGAGGCAGAGCCAAACACAGAATGGTTGCTGTAGAAGGTGGAGCCAAACACAGCACCTCCCTCCTTGCTTTGCAAGAGAATCACATAAGGAAAACGAAAAGGAAGGAAGGAAAGTGCAATGGGGTAGGGAGAAAGAGATTGGGAATTTAAAAGAACCAATAGAAAGTCTCAGCATGGAATAGACCACACACTGACTAAGGAAAGCCCAAGCGCTTACTAGTCCTCCTGATTCTCCAGTGGATGCAACTGATATTTATTTATTGAAACAGTCTTTCCTTGTGGTTCAAAATGGCTTACAACAACAGTTAAAAACCATGTTAATTGCTCTGATAAATGTTGGAAATGTAAAAATAAGACTGGTTCTTTTTATCACATGTGGTGGTTATGTGATGTTACAAAGAGGTACTGGAGATGGATTCATGAGATAATGGAAAAAATAACAAGAACTAATATCCCGTTTACTCCAGAGATACTGTTATTGAATATATTTCTGAAAGACTTTGATAAAGCAGATAGGTATTTGATAGTTCATATGTCGACAGCTGCAAGGATAGTATATGCCAAATATTGGAAAATAATGGAAATACCAACGAAACAAGAGTACGTGAACAAGCTATTTGACACGGCGGAAAATGACAAACTGACACTTGAGATGAGAGCCGGTACAGAATGGACTTTTCTAAAAACTTGGAAGAGCTTCTACGATTGGTATAATGTAAATGTAACTGATAGATAAATATAGTAATTGTAGTACTTGCAATTTCTTGCTTTCGAACTGCTAGGTTGGCGGGAGCTGGGGCCAGAGACAGAAGCTCACTCCGTTATGCAGCACTAGGGTCTCGAACTGCCAAACCTTCTGGTCTGCAGCTCATTGTCTTAACCTCTGAGCCACCACGGCCCTAACTCTGCACAGGATTGCACTATATGCAATGTTCCCTCTAATTTTTTCCCCCTACTGAATGGAGCAGTTCACATCCTGAAGAGCATATAATGGCTGTAATCTTAAAATGGGCAATGGGCAGTACAAGCCCCTGCACGGCTCCAGATTGCTGCAGAGTGGGGCTTCCTTTGTTAATGAATGGCCGCTCATGTGCACAACTTAGAGGGAACACTGACCATAAGTCATTAGAGCACATGTGGCTAGTTATAGTACATATCACACTTGAATGCAAATGCAGTTTCAAAATGGAAAGGGCTGTCTCAATTTGCGGTAAGGTGCAGCTATCAGTACCACATCCTAATTCCTACTTTGCTTGCACAGTCTTTATTTCATTGCTGTTTATGTTGAAACATCCTACTTTAAGAAATCTGCTTAAATATCCCTGTTACATTCAGCCAGGAAATCTGGTATTGTCATCCGTTCATGACTCAGTTTAACCTCTCAGAAAGGGAAGCTGTAAGGTTATTGTCATTTATACAAACTTGAAGAAAGAATCAGATAAGACGGGCCCTTTATATGAAGGGATTCCCCCCCCCCAATTACCTTGTGATACAGAAAATAATTTGAAAAAGAAACCTCTCTGTCAATCACTTGAGGATAAATGTCGCTGAAATATTTTATAGGAAGAGAACCTAACCTCTGATTCTATACTGATGGTCATAAAACAGCTAGGCAGGGGAATTAATTCCAGTATAAATATTTGTACTGTTTTTCAGCTTCTCATGGACAATGGGCCATGGATGCCAGTACAGAAAGAGGGTAAATGGCAAAACACACTTAGCAAACCTAAACTGAACCACAAGAAAAGGACAGAATGAACATAATGACCCTTCCCAATGGTACATGGCCCCAGTGGAGGACATGGCACCTTGATTGGGGGCCCCTATTCTGTGCTATCTGGCTTTATTCATTAAAAATACTTTAGGAGTGTGGTCTAAATTTTTGTCAGGAAGCCATGTGCATATGAGACACATGTCTGTGAATGAAGCCCACTTTTCAATCTGGTTCAAATTTAGTCTGGGAACACCTAAGCATAAGGATGCTGAGACTCAGGGTCCATGGTAGGGCAAAACACAGCGGATCTGCATACTGAGCACTTTGCTTGATTTGGGGAAAGACTCTGGCTCCAGCCACAGGATAGGTGTCAATTTTGAACCTGCTCTTCCTATTAAAGACAGATTTTTAAGGCATTTATACAATACAATACTTAAATAAGTGTCAGGGCTGCTTCCTCCAAACCAAAGTAATAGGAATTGAAATAGATTAAAACTGAACCTCTTCATTGCATAAAGTATGTAATGGATTTCTTCCATATATAGAATGTTGTAAGAATATACATTACATATTAAAATAATATATATTAATTTTTTTAAAAAGCTCTACTCCCATATAGATGTTACAAACAGGGGACCTGCAAGTAGTTGCAGATGCCATCTCCCCCCCCCACTATATCTTCTTTCCCTTCCCTGAAAGTTCCCATAACCTCTCCCCTCTTTCTTCTTACTTTTCTCCTTCCCACCCATAAGCCAACCTACCTTTATGTTTCTTCAGCTTTTCCTCCTTCCCTTCCCTTCCTTTTACTGACTCAGGAAAACTCTGACAGAGTTGCATGGTGCTAACGAGGCTGGGCTGAGCCAAGTTCAGGGCTATTTTGGGGCAGGAACGCACAGGAACCGAGTTCCGGCTGGCTCCTGAGTTGGCCACGCCCAGCAGGAACTCATTAGCATAATAGGCCACACCCAATAGCAGAAACTCATTAGGATTGGCTACATTAGGGGTGTGTGGCCTAACATGCAAAGGAGTTCCTGCTACAAAAAAATCCTGGGTTTTGACAACAAACAAGGTAAACAGAATAAGAAGGGAAAGGTGGGTGTGGCTGGATGACCACACTTCTGGTAACATGTGGGGTGTGGCCTAATATGCTAATGAGCAGTGCTGTCATGGGTGTGGCCTAATATGCTAATGAGTTTTGCTGTTGGGTGTGGCCTATTATGCTAATGAGTTCCTGCTGGACTTTTTCTACAAAAAGAGCCCTGGCCCAAGTTTGTGATGGGCAATCTGCAACGACTTGCACCAGCAACTTACTTAACCCTGTCCCCCCACCACCACCATGATGTTTCCTCTTTCTCTCCTACTGGCAGCTCTCCGACTTTTCCTGCTCCCTTCTCTCCTTCCCCTCCACCAGTCCACCTATCTTTTATCTGCCTCCCCATCTTCAGCTATATTTATTATTCATTTATTTCATTTATATCCCACCGGTCGCCACAAAGGAGACTCAAAGCAGTTTACATCATTCTCCTCTCCTTGATTTTATCCTTTTAGCAACTTGTGAGTTGGTTGGGCTGCTGGTGTGTAACTGGCTTAAGATCACCCAGTAAGCTTCCACAGCAGAGTGGGGATTTGAACCAGGGTCTCCCAGCTCCAAATATTAAACTCTAACCACTACACCACAGTGGCTGTTGTGGGGGAGCTGCTGTTGAACCGTAGCAAGCAGCCAGTCCAGAGTGAGTCACGCAGGTAGCATGGTAGCAAGTCACCTAGTGGTTACTGCCAGGCCTGGCCCCCATGCATCCTCCCTTAAAAGCCAAGCAGCCCTGAAAAGAGCCCTGACCCCTCCCCCACCTTTTACTGACAGAAACCAAGGAAGGAGGGCTAGCAAAACAACAGCCACTGAGGGCATACTGTTCTTAAAACTACAGGCACTGCTTCTATTATTTATGGGGGATTATCCCCCAATTTTTATTTTGTTAGATTTCAGATTTTTCTGCAAACCTGTGGTGTTTTTCAAGTTTGTGGAAAGATCTGCCTTGTCTGTTCATCTCCAGATTGTAGTATCTACAAATTTGGCCATGTTGAGAATTAGATATATTGAAGATAAATGTTATTAAAAAATTATAACTTCTAAATGGTAGTATGGATGTTCTTTCAATTTCTTTCCTTTCCTTTCTTTCTGTTTCTTTAATTTTATGTTCAATGTGTGTTCTTATAATAGTGTATTATAATAGTCAATTATATGAACATAGTCTATTTCAGACTACTATAAGTACATACACTGGACATAAAATTAAAGAAACAGAAAATCCATTGCACTGAGTAGTACTGTATGAACTTTCATTGAAACTAGAGGCCCATGTACACTGCCAGTGTAATTGGTGGTTACTGTGTGTGTGTTTTAAGAACATAAGAGAAGCCAATGTTGGATCAGGCCAATAGCCCATCTAGTCCAACACTCTGTCACACAGTGGCCAAAAATACCAGGTGCCATCAGGAGGTCCAGCAGTGGGGCCAGGACACTAGAAGCCCTCCCACTGTTGCCCCCCCCCGAGCACCAAGAATACAGTGCATCACCTGCCCCAGCCTGTGAGTTCCTATCTATACCCTGTGGCTAATAGCCACTGATGGACCTCTGCTCCATATGTTTATCCAGTTCCCTCTTGAAGCTGTCCATGCTTGTAGCCGCCACCACCTCCTGTGGCAGTGAATTCCATGTGTTAATCACTCTTTGGGTGAAGAAGTTTTGAACATCCACAGTGTTTTACCTTATATTGCTTTTTCAACATAATGGGTTCACTTACAGGAATTTTGAACAAAGTTCTTATATTGTTGTGATTTCATTTCTCTGGCATGTAATGGGCTCAGATGGGTCTTGTGTACCACATTACATGAAAACTATTATATGAATCCTTATTAACCTTTAAAGCAGCTTCAAGAAGCCTTGCGTTTTAATTGAGTGTTGTTTTCTATTGTTAAATATACATTGCATCTTTGTTACTACAACTAATCTGCTCACATTTCCTCTTCTTGAATCAATAGTGCTGCTCAGTGCGAGTCAGAAGACAGCTGGACAGGAACCTCACATTTCACAAACTGGTGGCTTGGATGATTGCCCTCCATACTAGTAGGTTTTGAAATTTACATTTTGCAGAAGTGCAAAGCTTATACGAGTATAAACAGGCTTAGTGGTAAGTTTCAGCAATGGGAAGGAAGGCAAGCATCTTGGAGAAATTTCTCAAAAACGAATTTTCTATCAGCACACAAGGGAAGGTGGAAGGGAGAGAAGGCAAGAAAACACGTGAGTGCAAGTGCTTACCTGTGAAATTAATGAAGCCTTTAAAAGGATAAAAAAGAGAAAGAAAAGTGAAGATTAGGTCTGCCATTTTGAGGGTTGCCAGGCATGAGATGTCTTTTCCCTTGAAAAACCTACGGGGTTACCATAAGTTGACTGCGACTTCACAGCAAAAAAAAAGCATGAGATGCTGCATGATTACTGTTGCATCAGCACTTCTGTGCCAATGTGACAGAGAAAAAGGGAAAGGCAAGCGGGGGGGGGGACAGGAGTGAGGAATGGAAGGATATAGGCCATGCAGATCCCCCTACCTGCTTCCACGGTGGGCTTGCCTGTTACTATCAGCATGTAGAAGCAGCTTTGTTTTCAAGTACACACAGTGCCATTGTTGACAACAGGAGTAAACAACAAGTTGCGGATGACGTAAGGAAATAGCGACAGGCCAAAGTTGGCCAAAGTATACTAAATCGTGTGGTGAAGTCACCCATGTAAACGAACGAGTCTGATTTATGTTTTGTGGAAAGTCTTAAAGTCTAAATATTCACTGTCCCTCTATCATTGTCTTCTGCCAGCAGGTGAAGGCTTTTTTGTTACACTTGAAATTCTGTTACTGACCCTCCTTCCTGTTTAACTACTGTTCACTGCCCTAGTTAGGCAAAAGGGCAGGATAAAATGTTTTAAATAAATAAAACGGGGAGTGAAACTGGAAAAAAAAAGTGTTTTGTATGTGATATATCTTCTGCAGTACATTTAAATCTGTTCTCTCCTTTCCCCCACAGCAATCCACACAATTGCACATTTATTTAATGTAGAAAACCTTGTGAATGCACGTAATGATAATAAAACAACCATTCAAACTGTACTATCTCGTTTGGAAGATACAAAAAATGAAACGTACCTAAATTTTGCCCGCAAGAAACTCCCGGTAAGCAACCATGTAACCTGGAATAATAATTAATTAATAATTGTTTCAGGCTGTGAATAGAGGTCTGATTTGGTGGTTAGATCATTCTGAAGGAAGAAACACAGAGACCTCTCCGTATTCGACATTTGGCACATTGTTTCAAATGCTGATGCATAAGTTCACACATTTAACACATAATTGTAAACAGAGAGTTAACCATTATTATTCATATTTCAGAAGGTGAAAAAGTGAGATGGGGAAAGAAGTAAAACCCAAAAAGGGCTTTCTAAAGCTTGATGCAACTTCAGCATCTTCCTCACTGCTGTGCGGATAATTGTTTCACAGCATGGATGAATGTAACAGCAGTATTCCACAGTGAGACATCCACATTTAATGAATGAATTCTAGATAACCGAGTTATTTCCAAGTCAGCAAGAGCCCATTCACACCTCGATGCTTCTGTATTATAAGCTAGGATGTGGATCAGGGAAGTTATGTATTAAAGCATTCTCTGACTCTGGAAACATACCTGTGCTGCAGAAGCAACCCCTAGTGGCATGGGAGTGATGGAGATGGCATTCACATGCCCTCATCTCATGCAACTCACTGCAGACACCATTCCCCCCCCTTTTTTGTCATGTTGGCACAGAAGCACTGACATGGCAATTGTGCTGGGCCTCTTTCCCACTTTCCAGATAAACTGAAGTGCAAAGCTGTACCATGGCACAGTTGTGAATATGGGGGGAAAGCTCACTGAAGGGCTAAAAGTGGAGGGGAGGTGATGCAGAGCTAAGAGTTTAGCCACTTCTGGTTCTCAGATAGTCTACAGGAGGAGCATCCATACAGATGATCTGCCCACAGCTGCTCTTCGCTTCCTTCCTTTGAACCAAATCAAGGGAGATTTTCCTTTGATCTGGCTCATAGATGGAAGCCTCAGGAGGTCCACAAGTTGTGCTAGGAATGTGTGTTATGTGGACGCTCCTCAAAACAATTTAAGCTTGCATAATATGACTATATGTTGACATTTTTTTGACCTGCATGACAGGATGTACTTGCACAAGAATGTCTCTAGCACTATCAATTGGTCCTATTGAACAATGCATCTGTGGCATTACAGCCACTAAAAACAGTTGAGTGGGGTCATATGAGGCTGGCATTTCGGTTTTAAACACCAAACCACTGAGTTTGGCTTACTTGGAACTCTGAGTCATTGTTTGTGAACATGATGCCCATGTGTTAATGGCATCAGTCTTGAGTCACCAGCTTAAGACAATAACATGATACTGATGGACCTTAATATCACATTACACTTTTCCTCATGAATATGGGGATGGATTCTGGTAACATCCATGGAAATTAATTTTGGATGCCACATAGCCAAAAGATTAGGCCTCTACTGGCTCCACAATGATCCCAGAAATGCTGACTTTTAGGAATATAACTTTGGTCAGCTTCTTTCCTTATGCAATCATGGCTGTCCCACCATAATGCATTTTTAATGGAACATTATTACTGTAGATTTTCAAGGAATGAGAAGCTACCCAATTTAGTTGTGGTATCTTTAAAATCACTGTATGCTTTTTCTTTCACAGAACCCTGAAGGTGGCCTCTATGTAGCATTCACAACCTTAGCAGGTCTCAGTGGCGTTATCATTACCCTGTGTCTAATATTAATAATCACATCATCTACTAAAACCATTCGAAGGTCATACTTTGAAGTATTTTGGTTCACCCACCATCTTTTTGTTATATTTTTTGCTGGTCTTGTCATACATGGTGCTGGGTAAGTATTCATACAGTGAATACAGCTCCAGGGTCCTTAATGGGAACTATGCAATAATCTCTTTATTAGGACCAACTAAAAGTCACAAAACAATGAGCTAGCTTTTGAGATTTACTGAACTCTTTCATAGGCTCAGTACTAAATAAAACCAAGGCTATGGTTTTTAGCAGACATTGCTCTTAGATGGCACAGTAAAAGCTTTGTCTACAGTAAATTATACTCTTCAAATGATAATTTAGGATGTGCAGACTAATCATGTTACTTTGTGTCCAGAGCAAAAGATGGTAGGTTGCACTAAAGCATGCTTGGTCAAGGAAGCAGTGGTCAAAGAAGCACTTTTGTCTCACTGTACTCTGCTGCCACCTAGAATAGTTCATGTGTTGTGTATGTGCTGTCAAGTTGCTTTGGGCTTATGGTAACCCTATGAGTTAATGACCTCCAAAACATCCTGCCATTAACAACCTTGCTCAGGTCTTGCAAGCTGAAGGCCATGGCTTCCGAGAATAGTTTATAGTGAGCAAGCCTGCTTGCAAAAAACACTTTGGATCACCATCTTAAGACTGTAACATATTTTGGATGAGGCTTCTATCATGTTCCCTAAGATTAACACATCTACCCACCCATTTCTTTTTGTTAACAATTCACAAGTTACAATGACTGCATGTACCAACTGTGTACAGTGTACTCTTAATTTTTCTGTATACATGTGTTGAGTAATTCTCATGTTACATTCAAAGCATCTACAGAAGAATGGGTGATATAAACCCAACACTGATCCAGGAACTGGTCTCCAGTTTCATTAGTAAAGTGAACACATGTCTGCTCTTTCTTACAAATAGATGTATGCATGTACATATGTTCACTGTATTATGTGAATGGGGTCTGTAGAGTCCAAGGAAGAGTTGTATGAAATTTGCATGTTAGATCAACACTTTGTGATTCTTTTAGCTGATCCTAATACAAGCATTATGATTTCATTCCAA